CTGCTGTGGCTGAGCCTAGCTCTTTGGGTGGGAAGTCACTTCTCAAAGAGGGGCCCAGAGGGGCATCTGAAACCACACCAATAAGCGAAAGGAGAAACTTCTTGTCAAAGAGAAATCCTGGGAATCCCTCCATTCACTCTGTAACGTCCTACACCAGTGGTTCTCAACCTTCTGGCATTTCTTTTTTTTTTTTTTAATTTATTTTTATTGATTTTTTACAGAGAGGAAGGGAGAGAGATAGAGAGTTAGAAACATCAATGAGAGAGAAACATCTATCAGCTGCCTCCTGCACATCCCCTACGGGGGATGTGCCCGCAACCCAGGTACATGCCCTTGACCGGAATCGAACCTGGGACCGTTGAGTCCGCAGGCCGGCGCTCTATCCACTGAGCCAAACCGGGTTCGGCAACCTTCTGGCATTTCAATACAGTTCCTCATGTTGTGACCCAACCATAAAATTATTTTCGTTGCTACTTCGTAACTGTAATGTTGCTACTGTTATGAATCATAATGTAAATATCTGATATGCAGGATGGTCTTAGGCGACCCCTGTGAAAGGGTGATTCGACCGCCAAGGGGGTCTCGACCCACAGGTTGAGAACCGCTGTTCTACACCATCTATGCAAAGATGATTTCTCTTGTGGAGAAGGAAGTAACCTATGGAGGGGAGTGACAGAGGGAGGAGGTAAGGGAACCAATGTACAGTAAACATTTGCAATGCTTCAGGAACAAGACTAGATCTTGTATATGCATCATTGGAGGTAATCCTTGTGACAGTGTTAGTGTTATGGATTGCATGTGTCTCTCCAAAATTCATATGTTGGAGTCCTAATATGGTTAGAGTTGGAGATAAGGCCTTTCAAGGAGATCAGGTTAAGTGAGGCTGAGTCCAGGGGAGGCAGCCAGGAAGCAGCGGGGTGTTAGGGGAGATTTTGATTTAGTGGTGAAGTCACACTTTCTGGGAGTGCAGAGTCATTTCTGTCCGCAACGTTAATCTCAAGAGGTCAGAGGTACCCTCATTTCTAAGAATAGTTATGAATCTGTCACCCATGAACTGAGCTAAACTGTTCTTCATCCCATTTATGTCCCCACCTGGGCCAGCTCTCAGGAAGGTACACAGCTCTAGAATTTACCATGGCTGGCCAAGGAGCCATCAACACCTTCATGGACTTGCATGAGGGCAGGTAAATGATAGCTGTAATTATCCCCGTCTAATCTCTAAAATACCTGCCTGTTGCCATTTTGTGGCATGATGCTGGGAACAGGTGCCAGGTTGCTGAGAATAACTGGAAGAGAGAAATTCTGAGTGGAACCTTGAAATCATGGTTCATGGGAGATAACAGAAAGGATGGTTAGGCACACTATTGTAAGAAGCCAAGTAAGTAAGCCATTTCTGAGTAAAAAGTCAATAGATCCCCCTTTTCTTTATGTACAGGGGTGGGAAAAAGTAGGTTTACACAAAACACAGAGTTAATTCTTTTTTTTAAATATATACTTTTTTATTGATTTCAGAGAGGAAGGGAGAGAGAGAGAGAAATAGAAACATCAATGACGGGCAAGAATCATTGCTCGACTGTCTCCTGCATGCCCCACACTGGGGATCGAGCCCTCAACCTGGCCATGTGCCCTGACCTGGAATCGAACTGTGACCTCCTGGTTGATAGGTCAACACTCAACCACCAAGCTATGCCAGCTGGGCTATTCCTGTAGTATTTATTTATTACAGTATTATTTGTCTTAGTATTATTGTTATTATTTCCTATTCTTACTTATGATTGATCTTTTAGTTAATGATGGCTGGTTATTTAACCTACTTTTGCCCATTCCTGTACATTTTTCAGTGCTTTTCCACCACCTTTAGGAGAAAGCTATTTGGAGCTAGGGGTCTGTCTTTACCTTCTCATAATGACAGTGTTCAGAATAAAGGGGTCTGTCCAGGTATGGCCTACTTTCGGATACTGTCTGTGTTTGCTAATATCTGTAGCTGCACTAAGCCCCTAAAACTGCATCTGAAATCTATCCAGCCTGAGAAAGCTAGATTCCAATCTTATGGGCCACTGACACCATCCTATATAATAAAAGGCTAAGCCCTGACCAGTTTGGCTCAGAGGATGGAGCGTCGGCCTGCGGACTGAAGGGTCCCAGGTTCGATTCCAGTCAAGGGCATGTGCCTTGGTTGCGGGCACATCCCCGGTGGGGGGTGTGCAGGAGGCAGCTAATCGATGTTTCTCTCTTATCGATGTTTCTAACTCTCTATCCCTCTCCCTTCCTCTCTGTAAAAAATAAAAATATATTTTTAAAAAATAAGGCTAATATGCAAATTGTCCCCTTGGTAGTTTGACCACTTGCTATGATGTGCGTTGACCATCAAGGGGTGGCGCAGAACAAAGGAAGGCCCCGGCCGGCAGCTGGCAGCCAGGGGAAGGAGGGCCCCAGTCGGCCCTGATCGCCGCCCAGGCCTAGGGACCCTACCCATGCACAAATTTCGTGCACCGGGCCTCTAATATTTAAATAAAGCCCCGTAGGTGGCAATTCATTAGTTTGTTTTTTCCTCATCTCTTTGGGTTCTGGGCTTGTTGTATTTTATTTTTTAATGTAAATCAAACAGCCAAATGAAGTTGTCGACTAATAATAATACAAATGGAACTACTGGATTTATGGAGGTAAAAACTGGACAGCCTTCCATTGCAAATTCAGAGATGGCTGGAAAGTAAAAATAAAGAACGGGGTGCCTTTGATTCTGACACAGGCAGCTGTAGCCAGAACACCCCTCTGAGAGGTATGGGACATCAAAGGAATCTTCTGCTGTGATTAGCGACAAGGAACAACCTTTGCTAGGGGAGGGAGAGGTCAGGTCGTGTTTGGGATGCCTTTCTAAAGAGCATGGACACCCCAGCCTGCAGGGGTGAGGTAGGGTTACCTTGGGTATGGGCATGGCTCTGTAGGAGAGTCCAAAGCAGTAAATCAAAACCTCCCCTAAGACCTGGCTGCTTCCTGGATGCCTCCCCTGGACAGAGGGGTGACTCAGAATGTGACTGGCTCTGGGACTTCAAACATTTCTGAGTTATTCCCATGGGCCTGGACAAGGGCAATTAGAGGACTGGTTTGGAATGACTGCTGAGGACCGAGAGATCCTCACAGGGAAAAGCAATTGCCCAGGAAGCTCAATTCCGAGGTGTCTTCTACTACAACCAGGAGGCAGAGGTACCTTCTGACCTACTAAATCGTAGAGGCTAGGAAATGTTTACTAATGCAAGAAGGCACATGCTGGGCTTCCCTCCGTAATTGGCACCTCTCATTTTGTGGGACAGGCAAGAACAAAGTTTCCAAATGGCGAAAGAGAAACGGAATGTTTAGTAACATATGAGAACACCCAGGATTTGGCCACTGGCTATATTTCTGATCTGATTTGCAGCTACCCTTCCCTGGGTCACTCTGCCCCTGTCATACCCACACTCTGCCATTCCTTGAACATGCCAAGTACTCTCTCACCTCAGGACCTTTGCAACTTGCTGTCCTCTCTGCCAGGAACTCCACTTTCTGGCTTGTGCACACACTTCATTCCTTGGACGGACCTTTCCCAGCTGTCCTGAACCTTTTCAAACCCTATTCGCTATTCCTTCACCCTGCTCTAGTTTCCATGGTAGCACTCACGCTCCCTTATATTATATGATCTTCTTATGTTCTTTAGTTTATTACTTTTCTCTCCTCATACAACCCTCCGCCCTCCTCAGAAGTTCCATTACAGTAGAGACTTTTGTTTGGTTGGTTCACCGGTGCATTCTACTGCGTGGTGCATAGAATATCATCAACAAATATTATTGAGTATTTGAATAAATTTTAAATATTTTTATGTGAGCATATGTGGTCATTTCCCTGTGCTTAGAGTTCTACATGTATTATGTTATTTAATCTTTATAACCACCCTGTGAGGTAGGGGTTACAGTCTCCCATTTATAGATAAAGAAATTGAGGATTAGTGAGATGAAGTAATTTCATCTGTTTGGGTTGTTATTTTTAGATTGTGGTTTCCCTGTTTTTTTGTTTTGTTTTGTTTTTTGGGGGGGGGGGTTGATGTTTGTTTAAAGGACCTTGAGTTGACATATCCAGACTTACTCCCACTCTTAACACACTGTCTTTCTCAGTTCTTGAACTGCCCCTCTTTCTACTTATTTTATAATTTTCCTCCCTTTGGACCCTATTCCTAACTTAATTCTTCTTCTCCAAACTGACATCTGACATAGTAGGTCTAAGAAAGAAACTAATCGTTCAAGTACACACTTCAGCCACATCGATGGCTGACCTCCTGGCCTTGCCATTGACTGACTGTGTGACCTTGGGATATTCTTGGCCATTACTGCTGGAATGATTGGCCTCCTTCAATTTCCTCTTACTCTTCTGGTGTGCCTAACAAATACACTTTGACACCTGATTCTCCAAGTTTCTTTTTTCTTTCTTTTGTTCTTCACCCTGTCCTTTCCTGGGGTTTCCTGGGGGACCCCCTCAATCTAATCTCCAGCTCATATATTTACTAGATACTTTATTTAAGCAACTCATTTAAATCTTTATTCAATAACTACAGGATTCTTTCTTTTTTTATCTTTTAAATTTAATTTGTTTTTTCCCTGGCTGGGTAGCTCAGTTGGTTAGGGCATCGTCCCAATATGTCAAGGTTGGGGTTCTAACCGCAGTCAGGGCACATACAAGAATCAACCAGTGAATGTATGAATGGGGGGGTACAACAAATCAATGTTTCTCTCTCTCTCTCTCTCCCTCCCTCCCTCTGTCTCTCTCGCCTCCTCTCTGTCCCTCTCTTTCTAAAATCAACCAATAAATAAAACTCTAAGAAAATTTAATTTTTTTAACTTTATTGAGTTATAATTGACAAGACTGTAAGATATTGTAAGATATTTCAAATGTACAACATGATGATTTGAGGTTTGGTTTGGTTTGTTTTTTAGATTCCACTTCTAAGTAATACCAGGCAGTATTTGTCTTTCTCCATCTGGCAGGATTCATTCTTAATATTTTTAATTCTTTTACTGAACTGCCTAGTCTCACTTCATGTTTCCAGTAACTTCTGTCATGTCTTCAAACATATTTATTATTCTGGTGGTAAATTCCTCTCCTGTTTTCCATGAGATCTGCGTTCTCTGGTATCTCTCAACCTTGCCATGCTCAGAATTTGCCCTCTGAGCTCACCTCTGTTCCTGTGGGACCATTAGCCACCTTGATGAGTGAGACGCATCATGGAGCAGGGAGAAGTCTAGCCAGCTTGTGCTTCCCCAGGTGAAATGGTGTGTGTTTATTGCTGTGTGCGTTGGTGGGAGAGATACCCAAGGAACCCTGAACCATCTCTTATTGGAGGCAGGAGCTCTGGATTATAATGGATGCCCACAGAGGGGTAGGAGCAGCACGTGTGTGGAGGGGGCTTTCCAGGCACTGGGCAAACCAGCTACACTGACCGCCATGTGCTCATAGAGATGCCAGTCAATGCTCTGCCTTGAAGCTGCCCACGGCTTCTAGCCTGTACTCTGATCCCCTACCTCCGCAGTACCAGGAGGGGGAAGCTGCCCACGGCATTGCAGGGGTGGGGAAAAGGCAGAACTAAGAATTGTTTTCTCAAACCTGGTTCCTATTTGTGACGCCAGGCCCTCCCCCTCCCTGGCCACCTTCCCTGCCAATGGACCGAATCTACTTCTATCTGCTGCTGGTTACTGAGCACAGCTCTGAGGTCTCTCATCTCCTCTGACGTCCCTCTGCAAGAGAACACTCCTATTCACATAAACCAAGTCTAAAATGAAAAAGCTGCCGATGCCGCTTCTGAGGGCCTTTGAACGCTGAGTAGATATTAAGGAATAATAACACGTTTTAGACGTGATAACTGGTATTGTGTTTCTGTTAAAATAAAGAGTTCTCCTCTTTTAGAAATAAATACTAAAATATTTATAGTTGAAATGTTGTATATGGGTTTTGCTTCCGAATAAAACAGGAGGTGGGAAATGGATAGAAATATAGATAAAACAAGATTGGCAATGAGTTTATGATTGTTGAAGATGGGTGGTGGATATATGGGAGTTCATTATACTATTCTGATTAATTCTGTATAAGCAAAAAGTAATAACATTAAAAGCCTAATAGTAAAAAGTTTAAAATATATAGATTTCAAAAATAATAAGTTCTCATTTTCAACAATATTGAAGTATATAATAAAAGGGTGGGTTGTTGCCCTGGCTGGTGTGCTCAGTTAGTTGGGCCTTTCCCCACACACCAAAAGGTTGCCTATTTGATTCCTCACCAGGCTGTGGGATAGATCCCCAGTAGGGGGCGTGCAGGAGGCAGCCAATGTGTCACTCTCACAGTGATGTTTCTCTTTCCCTTCCTCTCTCTCTAAAACTCAATAAAAAATATTTTTTAAAAAAGTGGGTTGTCTGTTTTCATAACCCATTTTTATCTAAACATTCCCCAAAGGTAATCACTATAATTTTAAACTGATACAGACAAGGTTTTTTGTGTTGCTACACACACACACACACACACACACACACACACACACACACACACACATATTTATATGGGGTTTTTTTTAAATGCAAGAAAAAGCAGAGGTTAAGCATAAGTTATTACAATATGTAGACTGTCAGTCATTCCTACATTTTGGGTGGGACACACACAGATTTTTTTTTAAGTCTATAAGTATACATAGCAAACTATTAATATAGGGGAGAAAATTAAATTTTTATTTCTGCTCAATTTGGTATTTGAATCTATCAGAGTAAGTTCAAAAGTACTTTGTGGAGAAAACAGAATACAAGAATTCCAAACTTAGGAAACACATTTGTTTTGGCGTGGGCAGAAGGAATCTTCATAAAAACAAGTAACCATAAATATAACGAATGTCTTCATTGATTGTGAACACCACCTCAGACTTTGATTTTTAAATTCTATCAAATTTTTACGTAACTTTTCAAATGCACACACATGCACAAACCTCATGTCCTATGACCTCGATTTGATGTCAGGTGACTTGAGTCTTTAGATCAGCTCTGTATAGGGTACCAAATAACTAATCAATCCTATCAATTCAGTTTTTTCAACCATGCATTTCAACTAGAATTATTTCATTAAAAGTAGCTGATAAGTTAACCACAGTAGACTCATTGAGGAAAGAGAAGGAGAAAAGAAAGCTCAGCAAGCAAAAAATATAAATAGAAGCCAAGTATCATAACTACATGGACCTTACTTAAAAAACAGAGAAACATTTTGTGTGTGCATTGATCTTGTTTCTCTTGACAAAGAGCAGGAAGATGGACATTTAGGACCCTTCTGAGTGCCAGGAACCACCTACTCCCACCCATCTGCCAAGCCAACTCCATATGTTCTAGAAAATCAATGCAATATTTTTGTGATTTTTTTCCAATTAAGGAGAGCATCTTTTCTTCCCAGTTTTTCTACAAACTCCTTATAAACACATGATGGTGTTTGTGTAAAATTTCATTTATTGAGGACTATACATAGATGGCTATTGACTAATGTTATTCTTTTCTATGTACATAGGTGATATTAACATTAATTCAAAAACATTTAATAACCCCCTACTATTTGCTAAGTGCTGATAATACAGACTTGAGTAAGATGTTTTGAGGGAACTTTTTAAACATCTTCCATTTTAGACTGAAGCAGTCCTTGTTGTCATCTTTAGATACCTTCCTGTACTTAACGCAGAATTTTGAATGAATATATGGTTTTTGATAAAGACACAGGGTCTGTTTTTTTTTTTAATTATAGAACTTGTGGAAAATGGTGCATAGCTAGTTCTCTTGAGAGAACATTATTACCGCCATTTTCTGTATTATTGAATTTAAAACACTGTTCAAATGAAATGACACTAGGCATAAAACTTCAAAAAATAATATGACATCATCAAATCACGAAAACAAAATTAAGATTTAAAAAAGTGATCCTCAGTATGGAAACATCATTTTTGGCAAAAATAGCACTTTCCTATAAGATCTGTAAAAGGATAAAAATGGATTCTAACTTCAAAATTCCTAATATTTGACAATTATACAAAGGAAGAAAACAATGTTAAAATAAGGAACAAAAAATTTAATGTAAATAATGGCTATTCTGTAAAGTAAGTTACATTTTTG